CAATTTTTTAATACATTCATTTACTATCACTAAAATAAATTAACGTAATGTTTCTTAATTGATTTAAAAATTCATCTATAGTCAACTAATTCCATATTTTCTAATTTATCTTTTTCTTTAATCTATCTAATTGAAAAATAAAAAACTCAGAATATTTCAATTGTTATTAAATCAAATTAATTTTAATTTATTTATTTTGATAATCATATATGTTTTATTAGATATAATAACGCTTGATAATAATTATAATATTATGATATCATGATTTTTTATCTAAATTTTTAATTTATTAAAAATTAAAAATTGAAAAACTAATTTAGGAGATCCGCTTTTTTTTTATTTAATAGACATATTTAGAAAGTTTAAGAATATATAAAAAACTATATTATACTATACTATAATTACAAATATATAAGTTATATTTAATATATAAAATACATAAAATAATTTTTGTTATTTACAGATATTTGATATCGTAAGTGAATCTTTTTATAACATATTGAATATAAACAAGAATAGATTTGTATCTACTATAAAGTAATTTAGTTTTTACTGATATTAATAAGTAAGTCTCATTGACAACCTTGAACTGATGATATTGATTAGACAATTTTTTACTCTTCTCGATGATCAAGTAGATATTGATTTTTTATAAATTTTGATTATTAAATCAAAATGTCAAATCCTTTTTTCCATTATTCTGTATAAGAAATTACTGTTTATTAAATAAATAATTAATATATATAATTATATAATTTTTGATTTAACAAAGCATTTTTTCACTCAATATTAAAATGCGAGACAACAAATTAATATGTGTTATCGAATTACTTTAACTTTATAGATCCAGTAATTCAATTTATTTTCACTCTTTCCAATTATTTAGCGAACTTGCTCGTTAAATCGTCTGGCTTCGCAATAGATTTAATGTTTAATGAGATAACGTCTGTCTTCATACTTTTTGCTGACTATCTATTTACTTAGCTATTCAAGCTATTGATGCAAAATTTTTAAAAGATCATAGATTTCGTTCATATTTGAATTTGTAATAAATAATTGTATTTTGAATGTAAATAGATTTGATAGATAGATATTATTAAAATTTTAAATATTTTTAAATATCGAAAAGTACATTTTTTGTTTTTATTTAATTTTTTTATTTATTTTTAATATGTCAAAAAATTAATTGATTGATTATTTAACGATTGAATTGGTTTAAAAGAGTAGTTACAATGATTAATTCCATTTATAATGCATAGTTTTTAGAACTGTATCAATTTAACATATCTTTAAAATAATAATTAATAATTTTGATAATAGATAATCGAATAGAAATAATATTTCAACGAGCGCTAATTTTAATGAGGACATTAATAGATAATAAATTTATGAAAATTTATGAAAAAAAATAATATTAATAAGAATAATATTAAAAATGTATTTAAAATAAGAAAAGAAAAAAGTTGATTATTTATATATATTTAGTTTATACTGCAAATTTCTATTATATATATATATATATATATTATATAATTCGTTATTATTTAACTTTTAAAATATTATATACATAAATAGATAAAATGATTGATTATATGTAATTATATAAATTAAATAATTATTTGTAACAAATAAGATTATCGAAAAAATAATTCTCCATTATAGATTA